AATGTTTTCGCGTCATATATTCTGGCCAAACAGAACTAATAAGAAACAAATAAGAAGAAGAATATACAAATGTATATAGATTACTGAAAGTTATCAAACCTAGAACAATACACAGCCAGGTAAGTATTAGATTGGAATACCCAAAGTAAATGAAATATCTGTAGGCCTAAAAATACGCATGGAGTAGAACAATAAAAAAGAAATGGCAGTTAACAACAAAATTTAGCCTAAAATAAAATCGATCACCTAAAATAGGGAAAAATGTCGAGAGAGGTTTATAAATTATGCTACCGACCAAATGTATTGGGATTTTGATGCGCTAGCGAGACAGGAGAACCAGTTTATTCTATATTTGAAAACCGAATAACTCAATACTTATTACAAATCTAGTGTAATATTTATAAATTTTTGTTGCATAAAATTATGTCTTTTGATAATAAAAAAAATAATTTTATATTACTTTTTTGTTTTCCAGTATAACTAGAAATATTGAACAATCTTTTGGGAAACTTTAATATTAATTACTTTGGCTTTATTCCAAAATTCAACAAAATTACATATTGATTTATTTCATACTATGGTACTACAATAAAATATGTAATATAATTTGCTCTTTTGCAAAAAAGTATTGAACTCGTTAAACAGAAGTGCTGAGCCCACATTATACATTTCGCTTTTGTGATGGAAAGAGGTTCTTATTTTAAATATTTATGCAGGTGTCAAAGTTATTAAGCAATAAATAGAATATCTCAAAAATCTCATATATTCATATAAAAATATTATTACTTTGTTGTTTTCTTTGAATTTTGCTGCATAAGCAATTATTAAACGTTAAAATTAAGGTTGATATCCTTATGTAAATATCAAATATTGAAGGATTATGAAGATTTTTCCTTATATATATTATACACATTTGTAACAAATGTAATTTTGTATTTGATTTTATATAACACAAAATTGCTATTCCTAGGATATTTGAAAAAAAATAAAGCTATAAAAATATTTTGTTGTCTTTTACATTCTAGGAAATTCCAATTATAATATTCATGGATCCATCTATATGCATTATAGAAATTTGCTAACACAAACAATATATATATATAGATATTGTGTATATAATATATATATATATATATATATATATATATATATATATATATATATTATAGATATATATATATATATAGAGAGTGTAGATCTATATATATCTGTACAGATATATATCTATATATATTAATATATATAGATAATATATTTATATATCTATATATACAAATATATCTATATATAGGTGGGTATATATCTATATATCTATATAGATATATAGATATATATATATAGATATATACCCACTAATATATTTTTTTTCTATTTTGATATAAAATTGAATTTAAATAGCTTTATTTTTATAATTTTATTGTAATAAAATTTCTTTGCTTGCATAATTAACTAATTTTTATTGATTTTGCTAACACACAATATGAACAGGTATACGTATTAAAAATTTATAAGGCCTGTATTTATTTATATAACAATTACACCATTTACTTATATTTTTATTACGTACAGAAACGAATATTAATAGAATTTGAAAAATTAATACCCATTCAAAATTAGAACATTTAATTGAACTTCAACAAGATTGTAATACATATACATTAAATATTAGTCATTGATGCGACATAGAGTGTTATAAAGTGGCGTTTTATTCTACTGTAAGCATGAAAACAATATTGTATATAGTATTTTAATTGCAATGTCAAATATTTAATGGTTGGGGAAGTACATAACATGTGATGCGGTGTTCTGAAAGAATTAGCTTTTATTATATACGCACATATGTATATGCATTCATATTTTAAATGGAATTCCCGCAATAATGTTAGATATTCTCTAAACAAACAAGCTTGTGGAACACATAAAAATGTGTTTGTAAAAAGAAAATTGTGCTTATTGTTCATTAACAACTTAATTAAATTACTATACTGTTTAATTATAATTTAAAGTTTCTGATAAATAATTTAGATTAATTAACCTTAATGAAGGTTATTTTGTAAAATCACTTATATATAGTTACAGATATTAGATTTTAATTGAAAATTTTCTAGAAACGTTTTTATTTTTATTCCCGTACATATTTATGTCGGAAGGGTATTATAATTTTACCTTACCGTTTGTAATGGTAAAAAATAATGATCTGAGATATCTGAGTCGATTTAACCATGTCTGTCCGTCAATCCCAGCGACAACTCAAAAACTAATTTAGCTTAGCCATTTAAATTGGGTGTATTCGAGGCAGCGGTTCGGTTGGTTTTATAGCTGTCAGTATCTTTAATAATTATTTGGTCATATCTCAGAAACTATTTAAAGTATAGTACTGAAATTTTGCATAAATTAATATGGTAAGACGACAACTATTTTTGCCGTGCGAACGTATGTTCGAAGTTTATTATAAATTCGGCAATAGAATAGCAACTTCTTATGGGTATCACAGAGTTGATATGAAAAATTTTATTTTTTCTTGGATTTTGTTGTTTTGCTATTATAATATAATTTAGTAATATTTTGTTTTATCTCCAAGTCTTCTTGTGTCAAATGTAATATAAGTCAAAAGCTTTTATAAGTGAAAAAATTAAAAAATTGTTTTTTTTTTTTGTGAAAGTGTTCACTCATACTTTAAGAATGTTCATTTCACACTTTAAAGAAAATATCAAATCATTGAATAAAATCTTTATTATATCAAATGAATTATAAAAATTTAATAAAATATTTCAAAGTTTTTATATAATATGTCAATGTTATATTGAATTTATGTAATATGGACAGTTTGTGTTTTATATACAAACAAAAATCAAACTTTTTGAATTATAGAAAGAAAAACAATAAGAATAGGGTGAATTTTTAAATATTTTCCTTATAAATTTTCAAAATATAATGAAAATCTGCTTCCACCCGATGGTGTCACCCGGCCTTGGTTTACCACAGTAATACTACTGTACAACTTTTATTCACGAGAATATAACACTGCTATATAATTTCTACGGAGTAGATTGCATATAAACGAAAGTCAAAAGGTGTCAAAATATTTTTTTAACAAAATTAATGGGACCGTTTAATTAAACAACAGTTTTTTGAATGAAATGACGACATATTAAAAGTATGTATAAAATAATGAACTTATATTTAAGATAAACTTATGTGTATGTAGTTGTATAATATTTTCTATATAACTGTTATACTAGACTATCCGCATATAAAACTAAATTTGTTTCCGAATAAAGCTTCAAAAAATAATTAATTAGGAAAAGGAAAATTTTTTAAAGGTAAATTTGCAAAATAAAGAATAAAAAAAAATTATTTTAGTAAAAAAATGCATGCAACAAAAGCGTATTCATTTTAATTTAATTTTGGTCCAATTAGTTTATTTTTCATAATTTTTATTTTATATATACAATATTAAGGTTAAGTATTTTTTAATATAATTACTAATATAACAAACAAATTATAATATATATATATATGTATGTGTACTTAAAAATTTTTTTAATTTAAACATAAAAAACTTATAATTATATATAATTGAAATATGCTCATTAAATATTTCAAACTCTTACATAAAATAATTTAAAATTAAGTACATACACAAACCAAAAATTTTTATATAATATAGAAATGTCAAATTAAATTTTATAGCAATAAAAAAAAATTGGTGAATAATAATGAAAATAATTTAATAATGGTGTGACGATAACGTTTACAAAAATTCTTTTCAATCATTTTCGAAATTTTTCTACCCTATTGTTTCGTAATATCCCACTTTTCCCTAACTGAGAATTATGTAATTTACACAATATACATACATATAGAAATATTTATGTATAAACATATTTTACCCCTAATACAAATAGTTTTTTCTATATACCTATATAAACATATTCTAAACAATTTTCTATCGGCAAAAAATTAATATAAGAATGATTGATTTTCATTTATTCGACCGAAAAGAATTTTCAAAAATAAACAGTGTTCCCCAATTTACATTTCATAATATGAAAATAAGTATGTCAATGTCAAACATATATACATACATATGTATATGTATTATATATTTAGCTCTAGTGAGTCAAACACAGTTCATTATAAGTTTTTTTTTTTATACCGAGTAGCTTACAAAATTGTGTACAAATAATATCAGATACAAAAACATTATTTTGCACATATAACTACATGTTGTATTAGTAATTCAGTATATTAGTGTAATATAGCACAGACACCTTTTTACATTATAGGAGTCTATGAATATAGGCATAATACATATTTATATATGTTCTTGCGATTGTGTGTTTCAAATAGAACATTGCATGTAGCATCTTAATGTAAACAGTACTTAGTAATCATGTTGATTACAGTATAAAGCAATGTGAAGAACAACTCGTCAGCAATTTCTTCATACCTCTGTAGCTCAGTTGGTAGAGCGTCCACCTAGAAAATGGTAAGTCATTGGTTCGAGTCCAGTTCAAGTAGAAATTTTTTTTTTAATTTTAACTCGTCCCTTTGATTGCGTCATCCATCTGTTCCGCAGTTGTATGAAGAAATTTCGATTGAGTTAATATTACGAGTATATTGCGATTTCCCAATAATTAGTCACAGCTCTACATTAAATTTTAAAAAAATTTCGAAAACGGAATTAGGAAACACTATTATATAGCCAAGATAAGAATGAGAAGAGGATGTTAGTACGTGTGTGTGTAGTTATGATAATTATTTTTTTTTTCGGAAAATTTTTTTTTTATCGAAATTAAACAAATAAAATGTGGAAGAAAAGCGAAAAAATTACAAAAAAAAAAAAACAAATTTTTATTATTTTGTATTTCATGTTTTATGAAAATTATAATAATAAGTTGAAGGATATTTGAAAATGAAAAAAAAATTTTAATATTCTCTTTTTTTGTTTGCTTGTATGTTTTATAATTGTTCTATATATTCTTAATAAAACTTACCCGGGCACGACCAGTTGCTTTTGTTATTTCAGAACCAATTATAAACTCATGTGTTTTATATGCTAATTCAGGGCATTTTTTACGTCTTGGTAAAGGCGGTTCATTGATTTGAGCTAAAATTGATTTTTAAATAAAAAGAAATTCATTATTTAAATTTTGATTAAAAAAAATTTTGAAAATAATAGATGATTTTTTTTTCAATTTTTAAATAAATTTTTTGAATATAATTTAAAAATTACGCACATTCATATAAGATTTTTTTTTAAATAATTGAAGAGTATAACACTTTTGCAGTTATGTGTTGGAATTTGATAATACATTTTGCAGTCTCAGTACCATATTTGTTCTAAATTTGATCTACAACTATTAGATTTTCCTTAGAGTCTTGAGTCTTAATAAACCTATTTAGTTTTGAATTATGAATCTTATTCCGTTTAAATAGCATAAATTAATTCAACTCAATTTACAATTCTCATGAATGTCATTACTAAATGAGTATTGAAAATTTTCCATCAATTATACACATAATTAAATAAACAAATACAAAAAATCCCTTAGACCACGTATAAGAAAATTAAAATTGTAGGTCTGTAACAATAGACAAATGAATTGAGATGAAAATCAAGATTGCATAAAAAAATCCTATAGAACAAACTAACAATAGACATTTTACATCGTTATATTATGGTAAATTTAACATTGTATAAAATGAAAATAAATTAAGAGAGAATTGTATAACAGTTAACAACTACACTCTAATGTATTTCATATATACTATAAGCTTATGTAAACTGCAGTGTTGATTAGATTTTATTTATACAAAAACCCCAAAGGCATAGTTCAGATTTATAAAAAAGTAAAAACTTAAAATTAGATTTAATTGCTATAATTAAATATAATAATCTCAGTTTACAGGAAAAAATTTATAAAAGATATTTTACATAATTAAAGTAGTGCATGAGAAAACAAGGAAAAAATATGAACTTGTAGCAATTAAGAATATTTTTTTTTTCATATATACAAAAAGGAAATTCTTTTAAAAATATCTGGAGCAATTATAAAAAATTTAATTTTTTTAGTATATTTGATTATTCATTTAAATTATAATTAAAAATTTGAAAAATTAATTTTATTTTTGTATTTTTGAAAAAAAAAAAGTCATAAGGATAATTTAAAAAATGATTATGACCTTAAATTTTGTATTCTATTAGCACTGCCCTGGTAAGTATTCAGGGGAATGGTATTAGTATAAAAAAGCAAGTACGTTTCTTGAAATTTTATTTAGAATTTTATTTGAAATTGATGACTTATACGATTACGCTCTCTTTGAAGAATGCTATTTAGAGTATTGATAAGTATTTTATGGTTTTAGATTTATTAATGAGTATTGCATGAGATAAGCTCATGAAAGGAAAGCTTAAAAGCATTAGAAATGGGAATTACAAACAAACAAGCTCTGAGAAGAACCCTTTTCCAAACACACTAAAAACACAGAGACGTACAATCACAAAACTGGAAGAGCTTTTCCATTTGAACGAATTATTTTATTAAGTTTATTAGATAGTAGAGCTCACTACAGATAGTAGGGTTGAAGGCCTTATGGGTCCCGTCTGAACCCTGCTACGATCACAAAGTTTCGGAAAAGATAATCTTAAAAATCACGAGCGTGGTTCCAATTGATTAGTTACGCTGAAAAGAAAGAAAATGTATGAAGAAGATAATAGAGTAACAAAGACCGCCGCCTCCACACTTTTTCCAAGTCCACCCATTTGTGAAACAGTAAAAAGAAGATATTTTGCGCCTATTATTATTTTTTGAATATTACACCAAAGAGGTGTGTAAAACACACCAAATAGGTGTGTGTACTATTGTTAACATTTATTTTAAAATTTCTTTTAACAAAACTAAATTTCAAAGACATTTCCGATATTTTCATGAACTTCGAATATACCAAACTTAACAAATTAAAATTTGAATAACATTTCTAAATTAGAATTTTAAAAGAGAAAATCAATACCCATCTAAAATTTTAAATCAAGGTTTCTTTTTTTTTTAATTTTTAAAAAAATTGTGGAAATAATATAAGAAATGTCGTCTGCATAAACATTATAAACATGAATTTTCTTTTTAATTTTGAGAGAAAAAAATAATGTTTTTGTTATTTTGCAAATTTCATATTTTTGTCTCGTATTCAAAGAATTACGAAAAAAAAAGAAGAGGTTAATGAAAAGCTTTTACAAAAGAAAAATTTATTGAGTTTTTTGATTGAAATTTAAAGATGAATTTTGAACAACTACAAAATATTTTGCAGTTTATGTAACTTTGGAAATTGTAGAAGAATTTAGAAAATATTGAAAATACAATATGGTATTGAACACACGGTTATGCAATAATTTAAATTATTTAAAAATGTTTAAAAGAAGAATATCAGGATGAATTGTGATTCCTTTATAAAATGTTAAAATCAATATGTTTGGCAAACAATAACGTTTGCTCGAATGTATTATTATCCTGGAAATACCTTATCATGTAGGAGCATTTAAGTTTTAATATTAATCGTCAAGAATTAGAAGAAGCTAAGAAGAAGATTATCATTACATTCAGTAATTCAAATCATGGCAATAATCCTTATAGAAAAACCTATTCTAAAACTGAAAATTCGATATCACTAATCCAAGAAATCATACCTTAAATCATGCCGATTGAAGTCATAAAAAAGTTTTTTTTTTGTAAGTGGATTGTACGCCATTATACTTCAGAGCTCCTCATAATCATGATAATTGTAAGGAAGGAATGGAGTTAGAATGGAAATTAGTGCAGATTTCCACTGCAGATTTTGTATAATTTTCAATTAGGTAAGCATTTTCATATACATACATAATATACATATTTATTATCTACATGTACATATATACTTTTTGAAGAAAAAGTGATATGACTTCGATAGCGATAGTAGGCAAAAATATTAAAATCTTTTCCATATTACCGAGAAATTATTTAAATTTTTTTTATCTTAAGCAATAAAAAACTTAATCTTTTTGCATTTTTTAAAATTATTATCAATTAAAATTGATTTTCTATTTTTATTATATACAAAACCTATAATAATTCTGGTAGAATCTTAAAAAATTTCTAAATAATTAAAAAAAATATCAGTATGCATACTGAATGTCCTTATTTATTTTTATCGAAAACAAATCATTATGCTTAATATTTGATTAAATTTAGAATTTATGTAGTATCAGAGTTCACATACTTATATGTAGAATATAAATTAATTTTAAAGAGAGGGAGTAAATAATGTACATAACAAATAAATAAGCACTAATAAAAAAAAAATTTTATACATTATTTTCTTATGAGAAAACATGCACTAAGAAAAGTGGTGAATATTAAGTAAAGACCACAATTTATTCGAAAATTTAATATGTCACTTAATATTTAAACACACCATAATTTATAAAACTTTTTCTTAAATTTATTTTGAAAAAATTTTCAAATATAAAACTTTATAGATACTATGTACTTATATTAAAGTGAAAATTTTTGGTTCAGTAAGTTGTATTAAGGAAACTTTTTGAAACTCCATGAATTACATAAATAAATTTTCAGACAAAATAAGACTCTCAACAAATGTACTTGATAAAATCCCTACAAAAAAAATAAGATATTTTATATAGAAACAAAGCTATAAACATTTTATATTAAACTCAAAATTTTATTCACCATTCAAAACTCATTTTTTTTTTCTATGAAAATTTGAGAGATAAATATAAAGTTAATAGTTTTAACTTGTAATGCAAAATACCCATTACTAACTATAAGTCGGTAACAATATTTGAATGTACAACATCGCTGTACAGATAAAAACAAAATGTCAAGAGCTTCAATGACTATATACTTATGAATAGATAAAATGAAAGCAAAAAATTTTTCTCCTGAATTTTCCATATTAAATTTTGGTTTTGTTTTTTTTTTTGCAATTTAATGCTCTTTTGCATTATTAAAATAAAAAAAAGACACTTGAAATTTAGTTGAAAATGAATGCTTCTGGGTATCATTTCGCAAAAACAAAAATGCAAAGAATTTAAAACTTTTAAGAATTCCGAAAAAAAAAAATAGTTAGTAATACAATAAGTTGTAATTTTATACACTGAAGGTAAGGGAGTGATTTAAAAAATTCATTTTACAATTGAATCTTTATCGATTTGAAATAAAATATTTGATTTGAATAATAAAGTGAATTAAAAGTATTTAATTTTAAAAAATTTTCTTTTTTCACAAAATTGTTTTAATTAAAATAAAAATTCTCTGTTAGTTTGCTGTTCAAACTCGAGTAATTGAGATTAAATTTTCCTTAAAAACAAATTTTTATACCCGTGTAAATTTTAACGTACATATGTATAAATTTGCCTTATCATTTGCATAGACATAACTGTACGTTTTGAGCAGTACCAGGTGAAAACTCCCTCAGTATCGTATGGTTATGTGTGCCAAAGATAACTCAAAAACTAATAGAGCTACCCTCAATGAATTTTCGCACATAATTTATAATACATAGTAAACGCCGGAACCCGATTCAATTTTGGATAGCTGCACGTATAAAAAAAACTAGATCGTGTAAAGCAGTGTGGCAATTACAATACAATTCTTAAAATTTTTCATTCGGACGGGTATTATAAAGTTGATACGGTCAACTCTATCTATTCTCGTTTTTTTTCATATTGATGTACGTATAATTGGATTAAAAAGTTTAAATCAATAAAAAAATATTGTAAAATTTCATTTAAATTTTTTTTTGTTATAATATTGAAGAAAATTTTAAATTTATGAATAAGATTATAAGACATGCACTTATACGGTATATTAATTTAATTATCTGCGTGCGTGTAAGTGTACATATAAATAACGCACTCATGTACACGTAATAATATAATCAAATAATTATAAGTAGCTCTATAATATTCTTAAAGTACTGCTTTAAGTGATTTTTGAAATTTAAAATCACTTTCGATTATATTAAGGTTTTTAGTTGAAGCCATAACAAAATTCAATATACATATAATTAAGGTTATCAGATGTCTCAGTTTTTCGGGAATACTCCGATTTTCATTTTTTGTCGAAATTGTACTGGTTTAGGATTTTTAACCAAAAAAATATAAAAATAAAAAATTATGAAAGCTGGCGTTCCAGTTGCTCTAAAGTCTAAATGATATGTTATGCTTGATGTGACTGGTGAAGCAGATCCATTGCACCTCAATTAGCACAAATGTGCTGATTTATTGTCATTAAACCTTTTGCTTATAAGTAGCCTATCTAAGCAACCCGGTTATTTTGAGGAAATATCATCTTTACTTTCATAAACATTTTTTCTATATGAGTAAGAGAAGTTCAGTCTGTCTATTTTCTACTGTCTCTTATTTTAAAAAGAACACGCTCAAATTTATTAGGCAAGATAGAAATTGCTAAACATATGCAAACCCATATGTATAATATTTAGAAATGTTCGTCTGTCCGCCTTATATCAACAACTTAAAAGCAAGTTCAGTCTAAAGAAATTTTTTTTATAAATTATATGCGTTCTGTAAAAATATAATGTTTTTTTTATTTATTATATAATTTAATAATAATAAACTACTTACAAAACTGATTCGGAGCTGGTGGCCGGCGTACAACTTCCTGCTTTGCATTCGCAGCAAATTCATGCCAACGATATGTACTCCGGTATTCCGAATGGAGCTGAAAGAAAAAAATTTATAATATACATTAACTTGATATCATGACATAGCTTTATTTAGTTTGCAAAAATATTCTTTAAAGTTAAGGATTTAATTAAGAATTCCAAAACTTATATCTCTTATATCTAGTATATATTCTATTAAATAATATATAGAGAGATTATTATATAGTATTATTCAGATGTTTCTTTATAAACATAATTTTCGCAGATTGATGTCTTTTTCTTGCAACGTCAAATTTACTTAGAATTTAATTAACTAAATTACTTAATGTGGGTAAATTTTTTCTTAAATTTATGAATATTTTTTAAATTCACAATGTACCCCGACTATTTCATTTTTTTTTTCCTATGTAAAGCACAAGCTTTAATGAACGTTTAAAATGTCGTATAATTTAATTTTTTAATATGCCTTCTTTTAATATAAAATATAAAATGTACCTTTCTTAACTAGTTTTTTCTTTTTATTGTAGAAATGAATTTTCCATGGAAGCGCAAAAAATGAAAATGTATTCGTATATTTCTTAAAACAAATGTTAAAAATTAAAAAAAAAAAAAAATAACATTCACATATTATGAACACATTCAAGGTTTTCAAAAGTACTCGAAACTTTTTTGTTTCTCAGTATTTTTAACAACCTTTTTTTTTTTCTTGTACAGGAAATTATATAAGTGTTTCGACATTTTTTATATTATTTGATTCTGGCAAAAACAACCAAACCAACAAACAAACAAAACCAACTTTATACAATATATTATTCTCTCAAGAGAAGGTAATAATGCTTTCATACATTGCTAAATCAGAATTAATGGTTTACTTGTGTTTTAATTTACACACAATTTTATATGAATTTGTTTTTTTCTTTTAGCGTTTGCAATAATTGTATACAAACAGCACGGCAAAATAAAAAGGATAAACAGTACATATAAATTATAATTAACGTTATATAACCTCCAGGATCTTTTTTTATAAATAATATAAAAAAAAAATGTATAACTCTACAGGTTATAATTTCTATTAATATATAAACACGTATATGATAATATTACAGTTCAAATGATACACGCATGTAATATTGAAATAAATAAATTGTTCAAATATACAATGAATGTTAAAAAACAAAATTAGAAAAATAAAAAAGTCAGGGGCATAATTATGTACATATACTTTGATTTTCTCATACTATATATTTTATAATAATCAATATCAAAAGTTAATGTAATCGTGCAATGTGTTAAAGGTCTTTACTTTTATTTAAGATTAAATTGCTAGTAATATTCACAAATTTATTTGGTTTATATTCGAGTGGTATGGTACAGAAAAAATTATTTTAAAAGTTAATTGTAAAGGCTCCTATAATTCTCTTAAGTAAATCTTTAATAAAATTATAATAAATTGGGGAACGTTTTCGAAAATTTTAACAAATACATTAAGAGCTATGGCAATTTTACATGGCGGTACTATTTAAGACCCTACCATGGAAGGGTCTTAAAAAGTACCGCCATGTAAATAATCTTACAATTTTTTACGACATTTCTCTAACAGAAATTTTGAAGCGGCTAATAAAAATCTATATATTGCATATTGAATATATATAAAAATTGCATATATTTAGGCGTAAATATAATTTAATTGCTATTTTTATTAGTTATGATAAAAATTTTCATAATAAAAATTATTTTTAACATTATTTTACAATTAACAGGACCCATATTTTTGTACATTATTGTAAAAATTCATAAAATTAAGTGAATTTACATTCCTACTCACAAATTATTTTTATTTTAATTATACATTGCACACATATTTTTTGCTGCTGTCAAGTTTTTCTACAAAAACAAACGTAACAAAAATCATGTAATTTTTCAAACATTACAAACTTTCATTATACTTTTTAAATTATTTAAAATTTATAATAATATAACATAAAAAACTTTTATACAGCATATTTAAATAATATAAGAGGTTTGTTTTATACAATTGTAATATGAGCAATATATGTACAATTGGCATACTACTCATATGTATAAAAACCATTTTATAACAAATTAAAACCATCTGTAACTCTGAAAAACTCTCTGTTTATTATTTAAAATTTATACTAATTAATAATAAAGTAGAACGTTTTCTTTTTTTAACTTTTTCATTTTGTTTTATTCCTGTGTAGTTTTCATTATCGTTTTTTACAAAATTTCAAATTTGTTATAATATTTCCAGAGGATATTCAAAAAAAGAAAAATCTTCCTACACAAATTTTAAAATATTTTTGCTTTTTTCATTAAAAATAATATTTCCCAAATGTTTTGGAAAAGAAAAACCAACAAAAAATAAAATGTTATAGCGAAAATGAAAAATAAATTGTAAAAACACACACAACGTGATGTGGCTAATGCGGTGTGAAAATTTTAGACGCGATCAGTATTAAATTTATTTAAAAATAATATTTGTAATCGGAAATATCCTCTGAAATAGGAAACAATTTAAAATGTAAATTTCAAGTATATTTTCCTTGATTCTATCATGTTTCTTTTTTTTTATTTTGCTGATTTCGTTCTAACTTATTTGCTTTTTTTTTTGCTTTTCTCTATTACCGTCATTGGGCTATCATCATCATTTTCACAACTATATATACATACATATATCTACATAAATAAACAATTTAAATTCGAAAAAAAAAATACTGATATTGGTTTTTATTACTTCCCTTAAAATATCCATTTGTCCCCCAAAGGGATATCTTTAGATATACGCAAAATTCTTAACTGTATATATACGCAAATAGATGTGTAAATACGCACACACACCGTATATACATTCGTATATAATTATTATACACATATGTATATGCAAATTTTGTATGAATATGTATATGTATATCAATGTATTCGCGTGTATGATTATTCGAAAAACCAATTTACTTCAAGTAAGAGAATGTCATAAACTAAATAATTTTATATCAGTTGAAATAATCAGAAAAATAAAAATTTTCTTCTTCAAAGAAATTAAGCTTGGAGTAAAATTTATATAGGTATCGGAACTATATATTTATATCCCAAGAAACAAAGTTACCGGAAAATAAAAATAAAACCAGTTTTGGCAATTCGAAGTTAAATTGAAATTATTCTGAAATTTTTAAATCTTTAAGCGATGAAAAATAAAAAAAAAATAATTCTAAGTCCGAAAATAATGAAAATTGCAAAAAATTTATCCGTTTTCGGTATAACTTCAACCATACTTGAAGTATTACCGAAAACGGATAAATGTTTTGAAGTTATTTAAAAAAATTTTCACACTTTGTTTACTGGGCAATTAAATGTTATTGTAAACACATAAATATTATGTTTTTATTGTTTCATAATTTACAAAATTTTATTAGTTATCGATATTTGAACTTACTACTTATTTATATTGTAAAAGCCCAGTAAATATTCAAAAAGAATAAATAAGTAATTTTAAATTTTCCAAAAATTGAAAATATTATCTTAATTTAAATATGAGAATGAGAGTTAGATAATTTATTTATATTATTTTCAGAGGATAATTTGAGATATATATGTTATTTAATATATATGTTATTTACTGTTACATTTTAGGCACTCATAAATTGGCATGAAAAAAAAACATATTTGTTGAAAATTTTGTAGATAAACTACTGAAAAATTAAATAAAATTTAAAAGTTGGGTAAAAAATAACATCTAATAGTTGCTAATAAACATGTTAAAAAATATTAAATATGTTATTCGGGTTCGGATTTTGCTCAGAGACAAGAAAATCATTATACACATATAAATGTATCTTAAATTTATAATTCGTTCTGTACTCATATGTCGATTGCCTGTTAAGAAACACATTATAAACCCGCCCTCAGTGATGGAGATGTTATTGAATTCGCTTCAACTATGTTCTTCGAAATTGTTGCTCCCAAATAAGTTGCGTTTGCTCAAAAATTAATCGATCTGGGTGGCAAAAATCCGATATAAAATTACCAAAAAAACCATTCGTGTCATTTTTTTCTGACAAGTGATAATGATTGAATGAAGAAAACCCAAATAAAGTAGAACATGAATTGTTCACAGACGACTCACAAACATACGGTATGCTATCGAGTTTTCGGAATATTATTCGGACAGATAGGAAGGAGAGTCACTTAAAACAGAAATTTCTCCCTTCTTTTTCAGTTGTAAAAAGGTAATTAAACGGAGGGTTAAGATCTTCTAAACAAGAAGTACATGTGTCCGCTTTTTTTTTCTGTTATAAATTCTTTTTATAACTATTTCACGAATGTTTAGATAAATATTATATAAAAGAAATAATATTATAATATATATAACAAAACTGTTATACAATCTTATTTTGTGTATAAAGGAAATAAATTTATAACAATTCAATAATATAATTCATTCTTAAAAAATATTTTATATTATTATAAAATTTTCTTTATATTATATTAATTATATAAAAATAGGAATAAAATAATAATATATTGCTTTTCAAAATATAACAGCTTCGTATATATATTCATATACTTATATACAAATGACATACGACCATAATTAATAAATTTCTAAATGTAAACCTAATATATTAATAAAAGTTGTAACAAAAAAAAAATATCAGATTGGAAGATTGTTTTTAAACATTCTAAATTACATCCTTTTCGGAAATAAATGCATGAATATGAAAAATATGCATATATATATATATATATATATATATATATATATATATATTATTTAAAATGTATACAATATATTTTATATATAAAAAGAAATAATATAGAAGAGATGCGCTATTGTGTTATTCTTATAGTTTTTTTAAATATACCTTGGGACTATTTCAAACAAAAGATTTTGCAATTATTACTCTTATACATAGTTATATTTATATTCTTTATTATATTTTAAAAAAAATGTATAACTATTATACTCTAAATTTATATATTTATATATATAAAGGAGTATATCTATATACAAATATACATACATAAATTAACAAAATAT